GGCCGCCCCCAGCAAAACCTGCGGAAAAAAACATGCCACTCGGCCTCTGAATCTCACTTCCTGCGTTGGTTGCTGTTGACCCCTCTGCAAATAGTGAACATGTTTTGTGGGTTTAGCGGAAAACCCTAAAGATTTCGCAAAAAGTTAAAGCCGAAAGATCCAACCAAATAGCAGTCAAGCTGCATTGGCCAGAAAAAGCTGAACTGTTTGTTTGCCACTAAGATGGTCATACCAAAAGTGTCCAGGATCTCAGGAAGTGTGAAATGCCTGGGGGCGAACGCAAAAAACAAGTGACCGAACTGGGAATAGGGATGGGGACAGATCCTTTTCTGCGTTGCGTGCAGAATGTTGTGCAACCAGTCGCTTGTTCGCTGCTCTGATTGAGCGCGGTCAGGTTTCGCATCTCTGATCACCCCACCAATATCCATCTGGGGAATTGTTGTGAAGTTCAAAAGCTCTAAAATTTGGGACCCTCTTCTGAGTAAGAGAACCACCACCCTTACTTGGGGTGCCCTATTCTAGCACACACAGCCGGGCTTAGGTCGGCTCAGGCTGCCCTGGGGTCAACCAGAGGTGGGTCCGACTTTCTCGGTCTGGCCTTTTCAGTTGCGGGGGGGTTGGGAGGTAGGAACAGGTCAACGCCTCTCCACCAGGATAGGACTTCGAATGCACGTCCCACAAACTCCATATATTTTACTGGCTCAAAAGGAGATGATTGAAGCAACCCAAAGCGGAAAAAAACGTTGGGAACTTCGCTCATGTCCTGGAAGCAAAAACGAACCGTGCTGTGGCTGATCGACAACTTCAAAAAGAACAGCGTAGGCCTCCACCCCACCCCGCACACAGTAAGTCCCTTGTACCAAAGGAGAAACACCTGGGAAATGTGATTTTGCTTTCCTCCAATGAGGTGTGCGCCCCCCCCCTCCATACATGAGTCAGGGATGAAGCTATCCTCCCTCCGTGTCAAAACCAGGGTCTCCCCAAAAAAAAACTTATTTTTTTTGACGTTTGTTTCCCCTGACCAAAACCGGACCTGCTTCCGGGTATCGAGCCTCGCCCTCCATGGCGGCCAGCGCAACGCCCTGGAGGCGCACGACGTGCACCGCCAGAGAGGCCAGCCAGCCCATGTAACCTGAAGCAAGAAATCAATCAGTTTTGATACGAAGCCAACTTGCGGTTAATGTGTAAATAAAAACAGTGAAATGACATGGTGGCTCTAAAGCAAGGTGAAAAGACGAGGGAACCCTCAAAGGCACACAAAGTCTGTTTTGGGGCTCCTTGGGCAAGCCATTTGGCAGGCGCTTGACTCATCATTACCATCCCCGATGTGTCAAAGCACCGGTCAACATATGTGTCAACTGACAAGCAAGCGGCCCAGTCAGGATCCGGAATCAATGTGCGACGAAAGCACGGCTCGGCGCTTTCCAGCAGACCCCTGTTTTGGGATTAGCCCTGATCACACGCCTATGGTTAGGAATATGATGTTCAAACAAGTGAGAGCCACTTGGCTTGAATAAGAACACTTAAATTTAGAGTATCAAGGGCCAACTCTACATTATGGGGTGTATGAGCATTCGTGAGCGCCTAAGTTTAAAGGTATTGGCCGCCCAAAGTACTTGACTTTGAGAACTATTCGAGCTTCATGGGCCAAACCAACAATATCCACTTGTTTTAATTCACCCACCTGAATTCAGGAACTTCTGCACCTTCATGAAGGGTAAGCTCGTTTTGCTTCCGATCGGACGGTAAGCCCGGCGTGATGCCGTGGTGTTTAAGCCCCCGATTCGTGCGATCCTTACACCACTCAATGGCACTCACGAAACTGCCGGTTGACGCTTACAAAACCCACCGGCATAAAAGGGAAATCCCACTGACCGGCCCACGTCGACCCGCGACCGTCACGAGTAGAACTTGACCTGTCTGACCGAAGGATCCACGTTGGGCTCTAGGTCTTGTGTATCGACCCTCACTCGCCCCATCGCTTGGGCGCCAGGCGCGCATAATGTCCAGGCTCAGGGCCCACAATCCAACGGAAGCCTGGACAACGAACGCAGCAAGATCTGACAAACATGACGCTGGATGACTTGGCCAATCTATGCAAGTCTTATATCACCAGACCTTCGTTTACTGGAACAGGTCGGAAAACCAATGAGCTTGGGGGGAAGGGATCAAAAACAGAGAGTTTCCCTGGATTGATCAGCATCTAAGTAGCTCGTCAGTGAAGTGTGTGATTGCAGAAATTGCAGTAGACAACAACAAGGCATACCTCAGGGTGTGTACTTGTGCATTCAAATCTTCAGGTCGATATCTGCCAGTGTAGTGGGAGAAAAGGCAATGTCATCTGCGCACCCTCAAACTCTTCTCAGTTGGGTCTGCACCACCAGGAAATCGGCCAAATTTGTCCACTGAATGCTGGTCCCCTCTTTGAGCACGTTTCTTACTCGCAGTAAGTGCACATTCAAACAGAAACTCCCCTTTGCTACTGGGAAGTTGGTGGGTGTTCTCAACACAATCCGCTTTATGCAACAAATGTGGCATATTCTTACGCAGCCTGCCCCAGATCTCCAGTGGTGGATCTTAAAGCAAACCCACCCCAAAAAGAGGAAAACCGGGCAGCACGGCTGCAATCTAGCCAAGTGCCCCTCCTTCCGGCTGTCGGAAGGAACACCTGGTGTCTTTTTGTACGCCTTTTTGTGGGGTAGGGAACCAAAGGGAACCCATCCTTTAGTTTGATTGGGCTCCTCGATTAGAAGAGGACACACACACACACATGGATCACAGCCCGTGATGGACGCGGAATGGATCAGGATGCAGAAAGGTAGAGCTCACCTTTGGTCACAGATCTTGCGTCACATGTGGCAATGAGGCCCTTCTCCCCTTCACTCTTTCGGACTTTAGTTGATTCTTGGCCCTGACGCCTGCAAAAGCGGAAGGCAACATTTTCTGGAGCTGGATTCTATGGCAGTTGTCGAAACTAGGAACCCTTCAAACTAAACGGCTGCTTCCTTGCACCGTCCTGTTGAAGCTCGCCGATTGACGGAGGAAGCCTACTTTTCAAGCCAGGTCAATATATAGGTCTGATTTCTGCTTCAGGACCCTTTTGTGGACGTTTACATCAAGATTCCTGCCCAAGCATTTTGTAGGGCGCCACCCCCCTAAACAATAAGCCCAAGTGGTATCCCCAACCTCAGAGCCCTCCTGGAACCCGCGCTCGGAGCCGCTAGCCCAAAGCTTCCGGTCCAATCCATTCGGCGCACGCGGCGCTGCCTGGGTCGTCTTGGAAGGCTCTGACCAGCAGCTCTTGGATTCTCGGCCCATACCCGTCCAAATCCACGGCGCACACGCGGACAGCGTCGACCATGCTCCGCGCCGCTGGCTGTTTCTGAAGCTTTCCGCTCTCAAATCAGAAAGGAAAAGTGCAACAACCTGCAGAAAGATTCGAAGGTCTGTAGGGTTGCCTTTCAGGGGTCCGCATGCCATGTTGATTTGTGGGAGAGCCAGTGTTGGTGTGGATTCCCAGTCGTCGCAAAGAGTTGGTGACAAATTGCAGGTGTGATTGGATCTTTGGCTCTGAGACGCACTTTTCTGCAAGGGTCATCAGCACGGCTCCTTAAATGATGCGAAAGACAAACGGCTCTTCTGTTCCGCTGATGCCCGCTTTACCCTGATGGCTTGGGTTGGCATTGGCGTGCAGCTGATTAGTTCCAGAGTGCACAATGCATGTTCTGAGGGCCAATGGCAGCTGGTGAGAATGGGACGTATAACACCGGCGAACGGAATGAACTGTGGACCGCGAAGCATGTGACCGCTCCCTTTGTGAGTTCACAAATCCAATGCCGTCGGCATCAACATATTGATTGTAAGCTTGTGGCCGAATGGCTTCTATCAAGGGGCAGAGTCACTGATCGCTGGCTTGTCGAGAGTGAGCTTGGAATGCTACTTTATGTATGCTCTGCGAGTCCTCATTTAAATTGAAGCCCTCCTGCTGCAATTTGGCTTGAAGTTATATGGGAATACACAATCAACTGGGAACTCAACAAAAACACACACACACACACACTCGCAGAGATCTGCGGATGGTTGTACAAGGCACAGTCTGAGAGCGAGGGGGGGCTGGAAGGGTGCTGCATCCGGCTGACCTCATTGCAAAGTGTCAAAACAAACGCGCTGAAATATGTTCAACATATTCACCCACAGCGCAAGATAGGGCAGACATTAATAGTCATGACAATGACGGTATCGACTGCGGGTTTTCGGCACTGCGTATGCTATCACAAACCCGTAGCAAAGTCTCAAAGCCCAAATGAGCTCTGGGATGGGTCATGGGTCCATGAATGCACCCTGAACACTTGCAAAGGAACTTTTAACGCGTCACACACAACACACTCACACAATGAAGCAGTTTTAGGAAGAATCTTTGTGCAGCAGCTTTCAAATTGAAATTGGGTTGTCAATGTTGAGTTTTCAGGCAGGTAGCTCGTCTTTCCAAAAGGGAGAGAAAAGCAGGGGCAGCAAGCTGACAAGCAAATCGGAGCCTGCATCAAGGCTTAACTAGTTTGGAAATAGCTCGAGGATCTCATTATTGTTCTGTGCAAATTACAGCGAGTCATCAAATTGAAATAAGGGATCCTCTAGTAAAGAACCTTCGTCTGGAGCTCGCTTTCTCCCCTTTCGAGCTCGAGTAATGTATCCATGGCAGCAAATCCAACCCGTTGCAGTTGAACCATGTCAAGCCCGCGTCTAAGGATTCTGCGTCCCCCATGTCACCTAACTCACTTTGATTGGCCCAGAGGAATCTGGAGCACTTGGGGTTGAAAGAACTTCCGAAATTCGGGGAAGTCTAATCCACACGGGGGCTCTGCAAGTCGTTTGGATCAAACTAGCCAAGACCCAGCAACCAGTGACTACTGCAGCCCTCTTGTTTTTGGGTACTCTTTTGATATCTGATTTTGATTTCCACTCGCATTTTGGCCCCCATGCAGCTCCCCTTGGCCCGGCACGGCCAGGAGCAGAGGAAGGGAGCATCCTTCAGCCTGGCAAACGAAATGTTTGGAGGGAGAGGTTCCCACCAGTTCATCAGGGCAGAAAACTCGTGGCGGCTCTGCTCCCCCAGCGCCGTCTCAAAGTCCTGCGGGGCCGTCCTGCGCGCATGCTGGATGACCAGAATGCTAAAGCCATAGGGAAATGAACCACAACTTCTCCCATGTTGTTTTCTTTTTGAGATAAAAAAAGAGAGAGAAAAACAAAACAGAGTTTTGAGCTTATGTAGCACGCAACTTGCGCACTAGGCCGAGTTGCGACAAACCTAATAAACCACCCCTTAAACCTTCAGCACGCAGTCTCAACCTCTGGGCGGATACTATTCAGGGCTTTAGTGAAGGGGCAAGATCAAAATTCCAACCACCTTCATGAGTCCCGCTGTTGCATTCCTTGTCAGCTTGGTTAAAGTTCGGTTTGAGTGGTCCCTGCCAAAGTTAAAGGGTACTCCGACCAATGTCTTGTTGCCCAGCAGCCAGTTCGGTAGAAGAATTTGAACTTTTTGACCTGTGTGCAACCTGGAGCAGGACTTTTGAGAATGGCAACATCATTCGGGCAAGTAGTAAGTGCGAGGCGCCGGTTGCAAACAAAAAATCCAGGTTGCAATTCCAGGCTGCTTTTCTATAACCGCTTTGCGAATTGCCAGAGAACTAGAGATGGGCTTGTTTTCTCTGCGGGTGCCCTAGTCAGGTTGGTACAAAGGGAAACCAAAGAGAAACCACACAAATTCTGGCCTTTCTATTGTGACACATACCGAAACGGGCGGGTCCTCCTAGTAATTGATCATCCTCATGGTGCCCTACATGGAATTTAGGACTCCTTATGAGCATTGCCTACATTCCTGTTGAGTTGTCCGGGATCAGAGCCAACCCCACCAAGACCTCCCACTTCCACGGGGAAAAAGGTGAACACCGGGGGTGGCGCCAAATTACGAAGGCGCATGTTTCGTGCAAACCCCATGTTTCTTGCTTGTCCTGAGAAGAGGTATCGCTTGATTTTGTTGCAGTGTTTTTGAAGACCACGGGGATTTCAGTGCAAGTGCAGTACACCAAGCGCTGCACCGCAGCAGCTCCACCTTGCAACTTTTGAGCACAAACATCGCACTCGAAGTACCCTGTGGCAGCTCCAGCGCGCAAAGCGCGACTTTTCAGTACATTCTGTAGCGCACGGAGCGCACTTTGGTCGTAATTGTTCAGCACAATCAATCGTTGTACTGGAAGTACACCGTGGCAGCTCCAACTCTTTCAGTCCCTGTGTAGCACGCACTACAACAGCGCAAGCTCGAAACTCGCATTGTTTCAGCACAAGTACCCAGCTCGAAAATCGCTTTCAAGTGCAACTGTCAAGTACACGTGTAAAACATGAAGTAGTGCAACTCGTCAGTACAATGAGCTACAAATATAGAACACAAAACCAACTTGGCACATCCAGGTCGAAGTTTGCCTCTTTTGAGTACAAGTGATAGGCCAGCCACGCACTACACGACACCGACGATATTGTTGTGTATGCAAGCTAACCAAACGGCACCACACACAAGCACGCGATAACTCTTTTATCCGAGCAGTGTGTTGGTGCCAGGGACTCATCTTCCCCTGTCAGATGACAAAGGCTGGGTGGGCCCCATGGGCCACCCAACTCACAATCTCAAAAACTGAAGAACGGGTGTGCAGACTGATAGCGCCCGCCCCTGAGCCGGGGCCCGTGGCACCCAGGCCACAGGGGGGTCTGCCACCAGGGGAAGTGAGTCGCCCACCGGCTCCGGTCACGGGAGCATGGGTGGGCCCACGCTAAGATCAAATGCATCTCCATTCAGGAGACGCGGGAGAAAAACGAACTCCTCGCAGAGTTCCTGCTTGGGGACCCTTTGCAAAGGGTCGAACCCAGAGAAATCTGGGTGCGTCAGCTCATCAGCCCATTGATTGAATTCACGGGGCACGTGGTTGGCCGCCAGCGAGCAGCCATGGGTGTGGAGCAGGAAGACCAGCTCCATCAGGATCGCCGCCGTGTAGGGCTTCTTGGATCCAAGGTTGAGCATCGCCATGACGTTGCCCTGATTGTCACTGCCCACCGGGAGTCGGACCCGGGAGGACAGAGGGCCTTGGTGCGTGAGGATCATGTTACAGAGGAAGAGCGTGCCCAGCATCTCCAGAGCCGCAATCCTCCGCTTGGGATCCCCATTCTTGAATGCCCAAGGGTACTCCTCCACGTGGATCTGCTCGTGGAACCAGTACACCTCCTTCTTTTCCGGCTCCACTTTGTTGGAGCACCAACCTCCCACAAATGCCAGTCCTTCGTCCGAGGCGCTAGCATCGCTGCAACCCCACCAAGAGGACTTCGGCAAGTAAGGGGAGTACTGGACGAAAGGCGTGTTGAAGAGGAACCGCAGCATGAACGCCAGCATCCTGACCACCTTGGGGGGTTTCCCCACCGTGGTGGTGGCCATCTTCCAGGCCCAAAGTGGCTGGAGCATCGACTTCGCCAGCGGACATGCAGCCGTCGCCCATTGGATGCGACCCAGGGCCTTCTCGATGTCCTTTGAGTGCATCGCCTGCCCTTCCACCATGGTCTGCAAAACCTCCATAACCAGGATGTGTTTGTTGGCTGCCATGAGAACCTGCGGGATGTTCGGGTGGACCACGAAACCCAGCCACGTGTTAACCTCTGCCAAATGCGTCTTCTTCCAGCTGAGCGGGGTGCCCAAGGCCAGGAGTGTCGCCAGCAGCGCCACCGCCAAGTTTACTGCCCCCTCGCTGCGAAGCAGCCACAGGAAGTCATCGACAAAGACGAAGTTCCAATCCACTTGAGGGAAAAGTGCGTAGAGGACCCTGAGTAGAAGGGCTGCCAGGCGTTTTTAGTAGGATTGGGCACTGGCCATGCCATATGTGCCTACCTTGTTCACCCACCAATGTGAGGCCACCTGGAACCGCCAGTCCTTCCTGAGGACCTTCACTCTCCGGTCCGCCTTGAGCAGCACCCACCTGGTGCCCGGCTCCGGCCGTGGAGGTTTGACGACCCCCCTCTCGGGGCCAGAGGCACCCTGAGAGGGGGGTCCCTCCGCAGCTGCCGCATGTAGCCAATGAAGAGCTTGGACCCCATCCAGCACCGTCGGAGCCGTCGTCCTTTCCACCGTCTGGTTCCTGATGGTGTCATTGGCCCCGCCCACCGAGCCATCGTAGATGGTGCGGATCTTGTCCCCCTCGTCGATGCCCGCTAGGGGGCCGGGACAAAGGTCCTCGATTTCGCAGCCACAGCGCGATGCTGCCTCCACCTTAGTGAAGGGGCCCTCTACCATGCCCATGGGGACCTCCTCCAGGAATGTGCCCCGGATGAGCTCGCTGAAGTGATCCGCCGAGGGGTAGTTACCCCTGCCCGTTGGGTGAGGGAGTTCCTGGAACTCCGGCTCCTCCCCTTTCAGCTCCTTCTTGAGTGGCCAGATGCCCGGCGAGGTCAGGGTCCGTGACCCCCAGTGGGACCCCTTGCTCCAGATCCCGGGGAAACTGGTGGTCGGGGTCCTGAATGTTCAGCGCCACGCTGTGCAGGATGTCCAGGAAGAAGGGTTGGCCGTCAGCTGGTCGGCCTGCCCCCACCGCCAGAATCTCCCTGATATCCTCCAGCAGGTCCTCCGGGAAGGGATGTGACCCATCCCCCAACGAGAGCGACTCCTGGAGCTTGTCCCCCCATGGCGAAGTGAGGACACAGATCTTGGCCCCCATCGCTGCTGCTTTGGACGGTGGCCGGGTCCATGGGGCCAACCGTCCCAATGAGGGCTTTCCCCCTCCGTCCCTTAGGGGGGGCTGTTTGAAGGCCATCTGGAGGTACATGACCTTGTCGGAGAGATTGGGGTCGTGCGTGATCGGCAGGATGGTGGGCCGATCCGAGATTTCCATGCCATGGTGTGCCCATGGCTCAGGGGAAAGAGTTCCCCCCCCAAGTTCGTCCGTCTCGCCAGTCCTCTGTGTCGGTGTCCGGACCTCCGGATTGTCCGAGGCCGAGACCGGAAGTGAGCCCAAGGTTAGTCCTGCCAACGCTTGTTGGCCAGCCTTCAGCCTCCGGGACTGGCGCTTGTTGTCCCCCGGTGTGCTGGGAGAAGGTTCCCTCTGCCGCCTCGGGGGGGTCGTTGGGTTTGCCTGGGGCGCCGTGCCCCCCGGCCTCAGTGCCTCCAGGACGGGTCCCGCTCGGCAAAGGATGGCCGCTGCGAGACCCTGCATCATCTGCTCTGGGTACCGGCTGAGGTCACTGGAGTTGAGCTTTTCCCCCTGGGGTGAGCCCCGTGGTTGCAACGCAGATCATGCCAATGGTGAAGGGGAAGGTCCGTTGACAATGTCGTGGACTTCACAACCACCTGGCCCAGGCGGCACTCGTCAAACTTGATGAGGGAGTGGTGGAGAGCGCTCGCCCATTGAATGTAGGCCCGCGTGACCCAGATCGATGAGCACCTCGCTGCGCTCGGGCTCTTGCTGCACTCCATTGGGTCCATTGGGTGCTCCAAGAAGGAGGAGCCCAACTGCGGGACCGTTATCTGACCTAGCCCCTTGTAGGCCAGCGAGGTCAGGTACATCTGTCGGAGCATGAGCACGCTGTCGTTGTCCGTGTCCTCCATAACCCGGGGCTCCAGTTCCTCTAAGCCCCACAGATTCTGCTCTGCTCTGCCCCTCACCGGCGGCGGGCCACCCGGTTTGGGGAACCACCTGAGGATGCTCCACGTCCTGCAGTTGGGGCCGCCCCCCACCAAGGCGACCTTGCCCGCCATGGCCTCTCCCAGCATGTCCTGTCCAAGGTCTCCACCCTTTCGCCTGATGTCCACCGCCCAAATGTACTCCGAGAAGGCCGGGTTGTCGGCATGGAGGTATGCATCCAGGGCCCCCGCATCATCCTTCCCAGCGTACAGCAGGATGAGGGACGGATGTCCTGCATCCATGGGAAGGTGGGGCTTGCCCCCCCTAGGAATTCCGTGTGTCCTTTGTCTGACCCTCCCGTCATCTGTCCCTGGGCTTGCTGCTTGCCCTGGCGGTTCTTCCCGCCCTTGGAACGCCCCTTGCCGGGCGGATCCTCACCTCTGGGTCTCTCTGGGGGGTCTTCCCACTGCCTCGGTGGGTGCGGGGGA